AAGATTTGTCACTGGGTGCACTATGCTGGTGGCAAATATAACAGGGCTGCACTACACTGACTACCAGTGTAACAGGGCTGCACTACACTGACCTCCAGGAGTGCAATGTTCTGGCTGCTAATGTAACAGAGGGGTTACACTAACTGACTTGGTGACTGGGTCACTACACTGACCTTCAGCATGACGAAGGGCACTACACTGACTGCCACTGATAGAAGAGGCACTGCACTGATTGTCAGTGTGAGAAGGGGAATAAGTCTCCTCCTCCCTTTAGTAATGAGTGTGTCAGGAGCCACCACGGCGTGTGGCTCGGCGCAGTGTGCCGACTCGTACTGGTGTACGGGCACTAGGTCCTGGCCGGCCACGGCGACGACGGAACTCGCGCATGCGCACTCGGGACCGGCGGGTGAATGCCTGGCACCAATGACAGCGCAGGGCGCGGTATTTAAATCCACTCTGCACTGACACTGGTTGCTGTATGGTCTCTTCTGTTTGTTCCTGCTCTGTATCTGTGCTGATTGATCGTTGCTGACTTTGATTGTTCCTGACCGTGCTGTATTCTCCTGCTCTGACCCCTGGCTTGCCTGACCTCTCTTTTGGATGCCCCTCATTGGATCTGACCTTCCGTTACTGACCCGGCGAGTGACCCGACTATTCTCTGCCTGCTGCCTTGTACCGCGCTGTCCCAACGGTTACCGACTTGGCCTGTCTGACCATGCTTCTGCTCATCCATCCATCCGTCCTGCCCGGACCCATCCGCCTCTTCACATCAGGCTCTCATCCTGCAGATACATAGTGGTGATCAAATACCACCAAAGGAAAGCTCTATTTGTGTGAATTTGTTTTATAAATTTCATTTGGGTACAGCGCTGCATGACCACACAACTACCAATTAAAGTAGCACAGTGCTAAGAAAAATAAAATGGCCTGGATATGAAGGAGGTAAAACCTTCCAATGGTCAAGCGGTTAAGAAATCATGGAAATTATCATGAGGGCAATATGATCAGACATTTGTGGACAATATCTGTGGACCATGGTGCTGGAAATACAGGCAAGTTGACTTATTATATAACAAACTTCTGGTTAGATGAATGTACTGCTTGCTTTTCTTTTGGGATCCTGACAAATACTAGGTTTCACTAATAGCTATATACAACATGTGGATGTTGGTATTAAACCCAGAAAAGCATTATGATTTGTGTGTCAAGAAATCAGTTACAGCACATAACTATCATCATTGCTGACATAAACGTTTATAATAAAAAATTGGATTGATCTAGAACAGGGGTAGGCAACTTTAAAGAGGTGGAGGTCTACCTGAACAACATGGGAGAAGTCAAAGATCACCTAGCACAGTGTCAGCCAGTGCCACCTCCTCACACCTGATTTAAACCTCTAATTGCCATATTACAGTGTCACAATCACGTGCATTGCAGATTGCAAGGCAATCATGGGTTTACATCAGGTGTCAAGGAGGCAACATATCATCTCCTCTCCACCTGGTAAACACACTCGGTTCGCTTTGCAGAGGAGCTGCAGTATCCTGCTGCACTTGTGAATGAGCCCTTGGTTGTATCTGGCAGCTTCACTCTTAGGGCTCATTCACATGTAAAGTTGGTCCATGGCAAAACCCTGTGGTTGAATCATGGGTTAACCGCCCCCAGTCCTTAACCCCTTTAGCTGCTGAGGCAGCAGCCAAAAGGTGTACACATGCCGCAGTAGGAATTACATCCCCGCCGCAGCAGAAATTACATCCCCTGTTGTTTTTGGTGGGTGCTACCGCCTGTCAATCGAGACACTTGAATGGGTCATGCTTGGCTGGTGCTACACCCACCAACCATGACAGGGTGTAAGAGCCAACACTACAGAGAAGACATTGGCTTATGAGGCTCTTGCTCCATACTACATCTCCAGCTTTACAAGTAGTCCCTCTGCATTACACTCTGTTTGATGCTCTGGAATGGTGGGTCAGCGAGCTCTGACGGTGATCTACCAGTTACCTGGCTGAGATCTATTAGTAGATCATGATCTACTAGTTGCAGACCATCGATCTAGAATATCCCTATTACATTGTAAACTCTCAGGAGAAGTGCCCTCCTTACCAACTTATATTGAATTATGTCATTACTGTACTGTCTCACTATACTGTAAAACACTGCAAACTGTTGGCTCTATATAAATCCTTTATAATAATATTACTAACAATATTATATTATTATTGTTAACACATAACACATGCATGCATTCCTGAATGTTCTGATCCTGGCTCATAAAACAAACAGGCAATTGATCTAGTGTCATCAGAGTAAAGGAAGAAAAAACATTTCCAGTACCCAGTGCTATCTGATGTAACCTGATGGGATTGCAGGGTCACCATTCCAAGTTGCTACCGCCATTTGCATATCACATGCTTCACAGGCTGCTCTCCCCCACCCCATTTGACATGTGAGAGTAAGCAGCCCTGGCCTACTTTCACCAAGAGCTGTCACCTTTCACCTTTCTGTGTTGGCTAGTAGTGTGAATGAAAAGGATCGTTTTTTATGAACATTTCGGAACAGGAAATATTATTATTATTATACAGTATTTATAAACAAAGTTCGCTCAGCGCTGTACAACATGTGACAGAACAATACCAATACAATGCAAAACATGAGGGGATCGAGGGCCCTGCTCTTTCGAGCTTACAGTATCAATAAAACTAGATTTGTACACTATGCAACATTTCTGTCAGAGGTGCAGTACTAAGCAAATACGATAGGTAACACCACATTTTTTTCTTAGTTTTAACTTTGAGAAGTTTATAAAATGGCCTTCAGACAAAAGAAAACTATCAAGTAAATAATTAACTCTGTATAATGAGTTTGACTCATACTGACAAATGTTCTGCACTGAACCAATGAAGGTAAGCACAGCGATCTTAAAACAGTAAGTTTTGCATGTCATCATCTCCAAAATTACAAACAGAGACATGGAAATAGTTATTTTTACATCCATGTGGCCAACTTTTCCAGCATAAAACATATGTTGCACACCTCATCTATACTTGTCCAATACAATGGCCACTGAAGATTCTGAATATAGCTTCTCCACACTACTACACACCCAGATTTATATCTAGCAAACATTTGCCTTAAAACAGGGATTCTTGGTTTGCATATATTGCAAGCTAGCCAACTGCATCAAAGTGATCCCTTCTCTGGGCTGTCTCTACTCTACTTTGAAAAACTCCAAATTCTTACTTGCTCATAGCATAGTTTATTGGATATATAGCACCAAAAGGGGCTAACAGTCAAAGCTGGAGAAGAGCTACAGAGGAATGTAATGGTCTCACGCTTGTTGGCATAAATCAAGACAGTACATCATTGATATCTGCAAGTAACCTGCATCTTGGAACTTCTTATTCAAAAGTATAAAACACTCTTATGAAAAAAATAGCATAAGAAAGACAGAATATAAATAACTCCATTTTATAGCAATGTTTTGGACTGATATTGGTATTTTCTCAAGCCAGATGGACAAAATGTATTCTTGCCTTTAGAAGGCACTGATTACTGGTCAGAGTGATTTATATTATGTCTTGCTGCTGCTATTTAATGCTTTTGCCTATGTCCAACTTTGCATCCAGAAATACTGGTTTATGGAACGTGTAAATCCCCTGTTTTTTGGGGGGGGTTTTGGTGGAAATGATGAAATATGAATATCTTCTGTTTAAAGTGGGCAATCAGTCCTTTATATGAAAAACAATGAACATGACATGGGCCTAATGATAACCTCAAGACCTCATGCACACAGGTAGTTTTGGCAGCCACTTTTAGGAGTGTCATGTGTTTTTTTCTTTACTGCTTCCAAACACCTCTCCATGTTATCCTATGTGTCCATGCACACATAGACTTTAGGAAGCTTTTAGTGGCAGGGTCTTTTTAGAGGCAGGAAAAAAAAACAAATGCCAGTGCGTCCAAGAGTAGCAGAGTTTTGGCAGAAAAAATGCTTGACGCTACTAAAAGTTGCTAAACGTGCCTAAATTCTACTCGTTTAGCATTTGAACATTATACATTTCAGTGTCCAGAATAAATTATTTATTCTGACCGATGAAATTAACGCCCAAGAGCTTGACCCCTGTAAGAGCTCTGAAAAGCTTTCGACCAAGGGTCTTAAATTAAAATTTACGGAGGTCCCGGTCAGCAAAATTTCCTTCCAGCAGAGGTCCGAATTTCGTTAGCAATATAACACATCACAGTCCCCTGGTACATTATTATTAGAGATGAGCGAATTATTCAAAAATTCGATTCGGCTGATTCGCCGAATTCACGGAATAAATTTGATTCGAGGCGAATATATTCGCTGCGAATTTAACGTGTAAAAAAGGGTGTTTCTAGGCTTCAGAGAGAGCCTTTATATTAGTGCAGAACACTGTACCTTTAATTTAAATGCCCTTGGAGTCTGCTGGGGAAGAGAAATAATACTGTCAGTCAGTATGACATGCAGATGAGTGCCGTCGATCTTAGAATCACCGCACACTTCACTCATTTGGGCAGTCACGGGGCCAAAACCAGAGTGTGGAGCCACAGTGTGGCGGTGGATGGAGGCAGCAGCAATGGGAGGCCATACAGCACCCTATGACAAAATGGAACCCACAGCAGTGTGAGGTGGGAGACCTGAAAGTGGCACATGGCAGAGTGTGGCGATGGAGACAGCAGCAATGGGAGGCCGTACAGGGACCCATGACACACTCTGGACCTGGCAGCAGCATGAGGAGGGCGGTACAGGGGGCCCATGACAGATTACGGGCCTGGCAGCAGCATGAGGAGTTGGTACGGGGGGCCCATGGCAGATTACGGGCCTGGCAGCAGCAATGGGAGGCCATACAGCACCCTATGACAAAAATGGAACCCACCAGCAGTGTGAGGAGACCTGAAAGTGGGCACATGGCAGAGTGTGGCGATGGAGACAGCAGCAATGGGGAGGCCGTACAGGGACCCATGACACACTCTGGACCTGGCAGCAGCATGAGGAGGCGGTACAGGGGCCCATGACAGATTACGGGCCTGGCAGCAGCATGAGGAGTCGGTACGGGGGCCCATGGCCAAGATTACGGGCCTGGCAGCAGCAATGGGAGGCCATACAGCACCCTATGACAAAATGGAACCCACCAGCAGTGTGAGGAGACCTGAAAGTGGCACATGGCAGAGTGTGGCGATGGAGACAGCAGCAATGGGAGGCCGTACAGGGACCCATGACACACTCTGGACCTGGCAGCAGCATGAGGAGGCTGGGGTACAGGGGCCCATGACAGATTACGGGGGCCTGGCAGCAGCATGAGGAGTCGGTACGGGGGCCCATGGCAGATTACGGGCCTGGCAGCAGCATGAGGAGGCGGTACAGGGGCCCATGGCAGAGTGGCGGAGCGTAAGCAGCTAAAATTGAAGGCCATCAAGAGGCCTATGTTAAAAAGTCCCCCCAGCAGCAGCGTGGGGAGACGACTAATAGTCGTCTCCCCATGCTGCTGCTGGGGGGACTTTTTAACATAGGCCTCTGTATGGCCTTCATTTTAAGCTGCTTACGCTTCGCCACTCTGCCATGGGCCCCTGTACCACCTCCTCTTGCTGCTGCCAGGTCCAGAGTGTGTCATGGGTCCCTGTACGGCCTCCCATTGCTGCTGACTTCATCGCCAGACTCTGCCATGTGCCACTTTCAGGTCTCCTTACACTGTTGGTGGGTTCCATTTTGTGATAGGGTGCTGTATGGCCTTCCATTGCTGCTGCCTCCACCGCCACCCTCTGTCGTCTGCACTTAACGGCAAATCGTTGACAAACGCTGGGACGTTCAGTGTTGTGCGCATTAAGCCAGACACCAAAGGGCAGCACAGACCTGTTATTACTCGCTCAAGCATGGCTGAACAAAACCAGTCTCTACCACAAATTGGACCCAGACCTGCCCAGGGTCTCGTAAGTAGATTGCACGGAGGAGTAGAGTTCGTTATTGGAATTAACTGTGAGGGACTTTTAAACCTAGGCCTGTGTATGGCCTTCAATTGAAGCTGCTTCTGCTCCGCCACTCTGCCATTGGACTCTTGATAGTCGTCGACTATCACTGAACGTCCCAGCGTTTGTCAACGATTTGCCGTTAAGTGATGCAAACCCGCTGAACCACGTTCATGAGGAGCCGGTACAGGGGGCCATGAATCAGTATGGACCTGGCAGCAGCGTGAGCAGACGACAGAGGCACATGGCGCAGGGTGGTGGTAGGCAGCATTATTCTGAAGCCATACACAGGCCTAGGTTTAAAAGCGGAAGCCTGTCAGCAGCGTGGTGAGCAGACGACAGAGACACATGGCGCAGGGTGGCGGTGGATCTTTGCAGCAGTATTCGGAAGCCAAACACAGCCTCGGTTAAAAAGCGCGGAAGCCGTCAGCAGCGTGTGAGCAGACGACAGTCAGAGGCACATGGCGCAGGGTGGCGGTGGAGGCGAGCAGCAATGGAAGGCCATACAGCACCCTATCACAAAATGGGGTCATGTGGCGTTGAGATCTGTGCGCCACGTCTACCGCACCCTGACCAGCCATTGTTAACAGCAATTTGTTCCAGGACGTGCAACAGAGGAATGATCGTCGTTTCATCCATAGTCCTGCCGACTCACGCATGAGCTGCCAATGGCTGACATCTAAGTTACACAGGGGAGTACCTTTATCCGCTTGTAACATCAGGAAATCGGTGATGGCCTTTCTTTCTGTTCGTAAAGGCGGTCTAACATATGTAGGGTTGAATTCCACCTTGTTGCAACGTCGCAGATCAGGCGATGCTGTGGAATTCCGTTCTGCCGCTGCAGCTCAAGGAGGGTGTGCTTTGCGGTGTAGGAATGGCTGAAATGCATGCAAAGTTTACGTGACATTTTAAGGATGTCTTGCAGTGGGATGGTGGATTTTAGGAACCGCTTGACAACCAGATTGAACACGTGAGCCATGCATGGCGCATGGCACAACCTTCCTTGACGCAGAGCAGACACCATGTTCTTTCCGTTGTCGGTCAACATGGTTCCGATTTTCAGTTTGCGCGGAGACAGCCATCTGTCGATTTCTCTGTTCATTACACTCAGAAGTTCCTCCCCTGTGTGACTACGTTCGCCAAGGCATACCAGGTGCAGCACAGCGTGACACCGTTGCGCCTGCACATGTGATATGCCTGGTCGGGTAATGGGACTTGGCACGGGGGGTGGCGGCTGAGGACACGGCGGAAGAAGAGAGGTGGTAGAGGCGGACATCTTTGCTGGACCAAGGACGTGCAAACGTGGAGGCAAAAGCGGCGTGACCAGTCCAAGTTGCTGGTGCGGCTGTGCCGGCACCACGTTCACCCAGTGGGCCGTAAATGACATGTACTGTCCCTGACCGTAGTTACAGCTCCACACGTCGGCGCTGCGTGCACTTTGGCAGAGACCGACATGCTCAAAGACTGGCCACCATCTCTTCTACATGTGAATGCAGGGCTGGCACTGCCTTTTGGCGAAGAAATGCCGGCTTGGCACTCTCCACCGCGGCTCGGCACAAGCCATCATTTCTCGGAAAGGTGCTGAGTCCACCACTTGGAAAGGGAGGGACTGCAGCACCAGCAACTTGGACAGGAGGACGTTCAGCTTCTGCACCGTCGGGTGCATGCTCGCAAACTGTTGTCTCTTGGAAACGGATTCCAAGAAAGACTGCTGACGGAATCCGTGAAGAGGAGTAGCAGGAGAAGGAGCATCTGAACGAGCGGAAGATGCCAACGAGCGACAACTCCCCTCAGCAGAGGTGTTGGAGCCTTGACTGGCTGATAGAGGGCGATTGACGTCGGGTGACGGAGCAAGTAACGGAGCGGGTGTGATGGGAGCGGGGGCTGGGGCAGGCAGAACCGCCGTATCTTTATCACGGTTTTCCCAGGCCACCGAATGGCGATGCTGCATATGCTGACGCAACGCTGTAGTCCCAACATGGGCCCCCTGGCCACGCTTGACTTTCTGGCCACATTAGTCGACATACGGCTACGTTTACTTCCTCGGGCGGCTTGACGAAAAATTGCCACACCGCCGAGTAGGAAACTTTGCCCCCGCTACTCCTCACTGGCTGACTGCTACTTCCTCCGTGCACACCGGCACCACTACTGGCCGTGGTGGTGGGGCTGCAGTGGAGCTGGTGCTCTACTCCGTGGCCGTTTGCCTCCACTGACACTGCTGCGACCCTGCTGCCTCCTGGGCAACCCACCGACTGTTTTGCTCGCTGGCAAGCTGGCACCCTCTTCTCCTGATGATGCGGAAGCAATAGCCTGATGACGACGAGGCTGCCAAGTGCGATCAGCCTCATCATCATCAATTAGGGTCTCCGCACATCACTACTAGCCCCCTCGGCTGCGTGTGGGTCAGGAGACAGACCTGTCTCTAGACCGGCTACCGAGCCACTTTCTTCGCCTGGCTGCTGAAGAGGCGGATGTCTCCCCCCGTTCCTGACCGCCCTCTGTTAGCTCTTCCTCACTGTACAGTGGGGCTGAGCCCACAGCATGCGATACTTCGCTTGGTGAGGGAACACCAAAGGACAGGGGCAGGTAGAGGACACGTGATTTTCAGTGGGCTTGCTCCCGGGCCATGCCAACTAACGGTTGTGTCTGACGTACCCACCGACCGTTGGCTGTAGGTGTCAGAGGTGACCTGGGAAGAGGAAGACGACCGAGTCAACCAATCGATGACGGCAGGGTTGTCGGTGGATCCACGACCGCTGGATGACACCTTTGGGAGCACTGGCCTCTGGCTGCGACTAGTGCTGCCTCGACCCCTTCCTCTGCTGCCATGTCTGCTCGCTCCTAAAACATTGACCTCCTCTGCCACTCCTCTGGTGTTGTCCTGACATACTCTTTAATTCAATTGCACCCAGAACAGTAAAACAGGTTTTCTGTGTCCACTCGTCTCTAACAATTCTGTGTCGAGTACGATTCTGTGTCCCTGTAACCATTCGGTACTCCCTGGAGAACCTGTTCTGTCCCCTCTTGTCACTAGTACGATTCTGTGTCCCTGTGTAACAATTCTGTCCCGTCCTGTTCATATTCTGTGTCCCTGAGTAAAAATTCTGTGTCTATGATAGTGGTTATCTGTTTGCCCCTGAGTAAACATTCTGTCTGATCCCTGAGTACTTCTGTGTCCCTGAGTAACGATTCTGTGTCACTGAGTAACAATTCTGTGTGTCCCTGAGTAACGATTCTGTGTCCTCAGTAAAAAAAAAAAAAACTAATTTTCTGTGTCCCTGCAGTAACTATTAACTCGTTCCGCTGTAAGATTCTCCTCGTGTTTCCTGAGTAACAATTCTGTGTCACCTGAGTAACGATTCTGTGTCCTGAGTAACAATGTCTGTGTCCCTCACGTAACGATTCTGTGTCCATCACAGTAACGATTCTGTGTCCCTGAGTAACGATTCTGTGTCTGGAGTAACGATTTCATCGTTCTCACCCTGAGTAACGATTACATGTGTCCCCTGAGTAACGATTCTGTGTCCTGTGTCCGATTCTGTGTCCCTGAGTAACGATTCTGTGTCCCTTTCCTCAGTAACGTTTTCGTGTCCCTGAGTAACAATTCTGTGTCCGTGAGTAACGATTCTGTGTTTCCCTGAGTAACGATTCTGTGTCGCCTGAGTAACGATTCATGTGTCCCTGAGTAACAATTTCTGTGTCCCTGAGTAAAACAATTCTGTGTCCCTGAGTAACGATTCTGTGTCCCCTGAGTAACAATTTCTGTGTCCCTGAGTAACGATTCTGTGTCCCTGAGTACACGATTTCTGTGTTCCCTGAGTACGATCTCTGTGTCCCTCAGTAACAATTCTGTGTCCCTGAGGTAACTGATCTTCTTGTCCCTGAGTAATGGAGATTCTGTGTCCCGGATTTCAGTAGCTCCACATTACTGTGTCCCTCGAGGCTGCTGATTGGCTATAACGATTCACATTGTCTGAGTGAATGCATTCTGTGTCTGAGTATCCCCCCTCAACCTCTGCGCCTTCCCAGAGTCTCTACTCTTTTCCCTCCGCTAACGATTCCACACTGTGTCCCATTTTGAGGTAACAAATTCTGGATGTCCGTGCAGTAACGATTCTGTGTCCTTTGAGTAACGATTCTGTGTCCCCTTTTGAATTTTAGACGATTTCTGTGTCCCTGAGTACCGAATTCTGTGGCCCTAAAGTCTCTGTGGCCCTAACTCTGTCCCTAACACAGAGAGGTCTGTCTCTCTTGAATGACCGGAGGCTAATGGAGAATTCTAAGATGGCCGCGATTTATAGCTCCACCATTACACAGTGCTGGCTGGCTGGCTGCTGATTGGCTAATGCGATCACATGTCATGAATGAATGCATTATGGGTCAGCGCGCCTTGTCTGCGCGCCTTCCCAGAGATCCCCGCTCCGTCGCTCAACCATGTCGCCGCCAGTTTTGGGAAAATTCGATTCGTGCATCCGAAGTTTGCTAATTTTCGGATTTCGGCGCGAATTTTTCCTAATCTTCGAAACGAATTCCACTTCGTCATGTTCGATTCGCTCATCTCTAATCTCCATGTATAATACATAAGGGGGGGATATGATCTCCATGTATAATACATAAGGGGGGGATATGATCTCCATGTATAATACATAAGGGGGGATATGATCTCCATGTATAATACATAAGGGGGGGGGATATGATCTCCATGTATAATACATAAGGGGGGATATGATCTCCATGTATAATACATAAGGGGGATGTGATCTCCATGTATAATACATAAGGGGGGGGGGATATGATCTCCATGTATAATACATAAGGGGGGATGTGATCTCCATGTATAATACATAAGGGGGGATATGATCTCCATGTATAATACATAAGGGGGGATGTGATCTCCATGTATAATACATAAGGGGGATGTGATCTCCATGTATAATACATAAGGGGGGGGATGTGATCTCCATGTATAATACATAAGGGGGGATGTGATCTCCATGTATAATACATAAGGGGGGATGTGATCTCCATGTATAATACATAAGGGGGGGATGTGATCTCCATGTATAATACATAAGGGGGGATGTGATCTCCATGTAATAATACATAAGGGGGGATATGATCTCCATGTATAATACATAAGGGGGGGGATATGATCACCATGTATAATACATAAGGGGGGGATATGATCTCCATGTATAATACATAAGGGGGGGATATGATCTCCATGTATAATACATAAGGGGAGGGGGGATATGATCACCATGTATAATACATAAGGGGGGGATATGATCACCATGTATAATACATAAGGGGGATATGATCTCCACGTATAATACATAAGGGGGGATATGATCACCACGTATAATACATCAGTGGTTCATATAGTGAACTCGGTGTAGAGTTATTCCCCCCGAGGTCATCACAGAGGACAAGGGGG